GAAGAAGAAGAAGAAGAAGAAGAAGAAGAAGAAGAAGAAGAAGAAGAAGAGACAACTATGACCTGGATTGGGGTCTCCAACCTGAGCAACCTTAAGCCTGGAGGACTTCAACCCCCAGAATTCCCCAGCCAGCTTTGCCCAGGTTGAGGACCCCTGACCTGGATGGCTGAGAATCTCCACGGACAAAGGGATGCTTAAAGGACATGACACCCCCCCTCCCCGCCTCTCCCCCTTGCCAGCACCAGCAGGAAAGGAGCGGAAAGTGCCAATCCTTTGACTGGCGTGCGAAGGTTCTCCACACCTCTTGGAAAACCTGGCGGCCCTGTAAAGAGAGGTGGCCCAAGGCCTTTGGGCTAATGCATTTCGGGAAAGGATCCAGCCGCAGAGGGTCTGGTCTCGTCCACTCTCTGTGCCCCGCGGCCAGCCCTCTCTGCCATCTGATTGAGGAGCTGAGCTGCTGCCAACATCCTCCTCCTGTGCAAAACGTGATGGAAAACAGAAGCTCGGCTGCTAACCCTTATTAGTCAGGAACTTACTCACTCCAGACGGGACCGCTCTGCATGCCCCGAAGTCCTCGGAAGGCCTAGGAAAGCGAGGAGGGGGGGGGGGGCTGGGCTGGCAGCAGGAAATGACTTCATGGCAGGGGTTTTAATCCAGGCGGCTCAGACCTGTGGCTGCCCCATTCATCAGGAGCCTGTGGGAGTGTTGTAATTGTGTCTCCTGTCTGGGTGCCTTTGGCTGGGTCAGCTGAGATCTACAAGAAGAGTCCTCTACTTGCAACAGAGTACCTTGTAGAATGGAATGTACTGGAACGGAACGGAACGGAACAGAACAGAACAGAACAGAACAGAATAGATATAGAATAGAATAGAATAGAAAACAATATAGAATAGAGTAGAATAGATATAGAATGGACTGGACTGGACTGGACTGGAGTGGAGTGGAGTGGAGTGGAGTGGAGTAGAGTAGAGTAGGGTAAAGTAGAATAGAATAGATATAGAATAGAAATAGAATAGATATAGAATAGAAAAGAATATTATAGAATAGAATAGAATATAGAATATAGTAGAATAAATATGGAATGGAATGGAATGGAATGGAATGGAATAGAATAGAATAGAATAGAATAGAATAGAATAGAATAGAATAGAATAGAATAGAATAGAA